CCCGCATTCCCCCATTCCCGCATTCCCCCATTCCCGCGTTGCCCCATTCCCCCATTCCCCCATTCCCGCATTCCCGCATTCCCCCATTCCCGTTCCCTATTTTAAAGATAGCCGTCACGATCCGACGTAGAAAAGGTAATTCATTAATATAGAATAAAGATTTGTATGTTCTAAGACTCTAAAAAGGTTTAAACTCAAATGTAGTATATTGCTCACAGGCTGTCAGAGAGTTTTTGTAGTACATGAAAATGCGTGTTTGCCATATTGTTTATACGTCTGTAGTCTATGTGTTTTGCAAATTTAATACGTCAATTGTATACCTCACGAAGAAACCGCTCTTCAACGTGAAATATTTCTACTGTTTAAAATATTTCTACCATTCCAAAATTTGTTTTGTATTAAAGTCCAGATATTCTTGTTGATTTGGAGTTTTTAGTCCTTGCTGAACTATGCCAAAACTGGAAAAAATCGATGTTTTTAAAGTTGTATTATTTTCGTAATATTTCGCTGCTTTCCATCCGTTGATACGTTTTCAACAGGGAAATTATTTATCGGTTGGGGGGGGGGGGCTGGTTTGGGGAGGGAGGGGGGGGGAGGCTGGGGAATTCTAAATTCAAACAGCGTAATAAAAATGACCCTCCCTTTTAATGTGTTTAAAAATGTAGTCCACCCCTTTAGAACAGTCTGAAAATTTTTCACCCCACTCCAACATTAAAGTTAAGAAGAACATAGTATGGCCATATGGTAGTTCTTCCCATCCTATTCTTTTGTGTGCTCTTTACAACCAGGGGCGTAGAGAGGACCTTCAACTTGGGGATGCTGGACAGGATTTAGCCAACAGGGGGGGGGGGGGCGAAATAAAATCTAAATCCACAATGTAATTGTGTATAATCTTGTCTAAGTAAGTAGATATGGCCCCAAGAAGAAAGGGTTTACTTTGGGTTTTTAAATGTAAAATATATTTACTTTCAATCATCATTCGGTTTTAAAAGTAATTCGCATTATTTTAACCCATCATTTTCCATCACGAAAAATCATGTCTTTTATGCATTATACAGTTTTCGGACTTATGCAAACTCACACCCCGAAAATGCAGGAAATCGCATTTCAGGGACTCTAGATTTCAAAATATTCTGGGGGAGCATGCCCCCAGACCTCCCCTAAAATGGCTCACGCCTTTTACGCCGGCTACGCCACTATCTCTATACCATCTTCTTTATATCAATGCTATAAAATTTTATTGTCTCCCCAAAACACTTCTTAAAAAGATTTAAACCACTCTTTTTATTTTACACCCATAAAATATATCCCCCCCCCCCATTATTTTACCAGCCCTCCTCCCAACCGATAAATAATGAACCCTAAG